ACCTGTTCCCCCCACCTCTCAATTTTCTCTCTGGGGTCGCACACAGTTTGATGTCTTAAAATGGGGTTACACCAGGAACAAGTTTGGGAGCGTCCGATTTAACGTGTGTTGGTACACGCAGGCTACCTTGCTAACAATTTTAGGTTTGATACTAAAGTGATAGATCTTGTCTTTTGCTGCTGCCTTTTCTTAGTGTCATGGATTTTTTTTTGTTGGGGAGTGCCACTGGACAAAGGCTGAAGCTTGCATTGCTCATGTTGCCTCCATTAGTGTGGGGTGTTTTCACATCAAAAATTAGATGTCGGTGTTGTGATGTGGGAGTTTTTTTCTGCTGAGTTCAGCCTCTGGTGACAAGGTCACGCCCTTTCCAATGTCTTATTTTGTTTTCTTCCATTTGACTAGCGCCCAGGGATGCCTCCGGGCAGCCGCATGCCACCTCAGGGTGCTTCCATGGGTCCGCCGGGTCCTTCGTATGGTGGGAGCCCAGCTGTGCGACCAGGCGTGCCTCAGTCAATGATGGACCAGTCTCGCAAACGGCCAGCGCCTCAGCAAATTCAGCAGGTGCAGCAACAAGCAGCCCAGAACCGCAATCACAAGTAGGTCCAAGAGCTTTTAAATTCATCTTCCCATATTCAGTACAACAGATGTTGCCAGGAGTGACGTGCTTTGAAATTGGTCAGCCTCTGTCAGAGGCACCAGTGTGATCCCTGGAACGAAATTTGATTCATTTTCACCCCTGTGGAGTGCTGACTGATTCAGGATGCAGTTCCACGTGCATCAGCGGTCCACAAAAACCTCACCGAGCTGTGCTTTTAAAATTTATTTCATGGGATGTGGGTGTTGTTGGCAAGATCAGGTTTGTTGTCCAAACCTAATTGCTGCTGAACTGTGTGGGTGGCTACACCATTGCAGAGAGCAGTTAAAAGTCAGCCATAGTGTTATGGGTATAGAGTCACATGTAGGCCAGAGCGGGTAAGGACAGCACGTTTCCTCCTGTAAGTAAATTAGATGGGCTTTCAATTGTTAGAGAATAATTTTAGATGTATTAATTGAATTTAAATTCCATCAGCTGACATGGTGGGATTGGAACCCGTGTTGCCGGAGCATTAACCTGGGCCTCTGGATTACGAGTTCAGCAACATTACCATACTGCTGTAACACCATAAGAAATAGGAAGAGGTAGACTGTTTGGCCCCTCGAGCGTGCTCTGCCATTCAGTAGAATCACAGCTGATTCAACATTTCTCAAGAGACAACAAGGTGCAGGGCTGGATGAACACAGCAGGCCAAGCAGCATCATAGGAGCAGAGAGGCTGACGTTTCGGGCCTAGACCCTTCATCAGAAAAGG